GTTTGCAACTCAAAAAAGAACCGCCCTGGATACACACCTATTCGGCGTAGCCCCGGCCACGGCTTTAATTAAATTTAATTTCTCGTTTGCAACTCAAAAAAGAACCGCCCTGGACACACACCTATTCGGCGTAGCCCCGGCCACGGCTTTAATTAAATTTAATTTCTCGTTTTCAACTCAAAAAAGAACCGCCCTGGACACACACCTATTCGGCGTAGCCCCGGCCACGGTTATAATTAAATTTAAATTCTCGTTTGCAACTCAAAAAAGAACCGCCCTGGACACACACCTATTCGGCGTAGCCCCGGCCACGGTTATAATTAAATTTAATTTCTCGTTTGCAACTCAAAAAAGAACCGCCCTGGACACACACCTATTCGGCGTAGCCCCGGCCACGGTTATAATTAAATTTAATTTCTCGTTTGCAACTCAAAAAAGAACCGCCCTGGACACACACCTATTCGGTGTAGCCCCGGCCACGGCTTTAATTAAATTTTATTTCTCGTTTTCAACTCAAAAAAAGAGCCGCCCTGGACACACACCTATTCGGCGTAGCCCCGGCCACGGCTTTAATTAAATTTTATTTCTCGTTTTCAACTCAAAAAAAGAGCCGCCCTGGACACACACCTATTCGGCGTAGCCCCGGCCACGGCTTTAATTAAATTTTATTTCTCGTTTTCAACTCAAAAAAAGAGCCGCCCTGGACACACACCTATTCGGCGTAGCCTTGGCCACGGTTATAATTAAATTTAAATTCTCGTTTGCAACTCAAAAAGAACCGCCCTGGACACACACCTATTCGGCGTAGCCCCGGCTACGGTTTTAATTAAATTTAATTTCTCGTTTTCAACTCAAAAAAAGAACCGCCCTGGACACACACCTATTCGGCGTAGCCCCGGCCACGGTTTTAATTAAATTTAATTTCTCGTTTTCAACTCAAAAAAAGAACCGCCCTGGACACACACCTATTCGGGGTAGCCCCGGCCACGGTTTTAATTAAATTTAATTTCTCGTTTTCAACTCAAAAAAAGAACCGCCCTGGACACACACCTATTCGGCGTAGCCCCGGCCACGGTTTTAATTAAATTTAATTTCTCGTTTTCAACTCAAAAAAAGAACCGCCCTGGACACACACCTATTCGGCGTAGCCCCGGCCACGGTTTTAATTAAATTTAATTTCTCGTTTTCAACTCAAAAAAAGAACCGCCCTGGACACACACCTATTCGGGGTAGCCCCGGCCACGGTTTTAATTAAATTTAATTTCTCGTTTTCAACTCAAAAAAAGAACCGCCCTGGACACACACCTATTCGGCGTAGCCCCGGCCACGGTTTTAATTAAATTTAATTTCTCGTTTTCAACTCTAAAAAAGAACCGCTCTGGACACACACCTATTCGGCGTAGCCCCGGCCATGGTTTTAATTAAATTTTATTTCTCGTTTTCACACGAAGGACACGAACCTAGACGGCGTAGCCCTGGCTACGGTTTTAATTAAATTTATTTATTGTCAATAATTCTTCTGAGTATAAAAATCTTTCCATTTACAACTAAAAAAAGGACCTCCTGAACACACATCTTTTTGGCGTGGCCCCGGTCACGGTTCAATTTAATGTAATTGTTTCCTCTAAATTAAGTTAATTTAGTATTCTGAGGACAAAATGCTGTCTCAATTTTAACTAAAACAATTAACCACCCTGAACTCGCACCTTAATTAATTTTATATTTTTTTCTACATGAAGCAAATTATATCTTTCTTCTACATTAATTTTATTAAATCAATAAAATATATTCATCTGTAAATTTCTCTTTACAATCTTTAGAAATTAATATCATTTGATATATAACTAGAATGGGTTTGGTTCTAAATTCCAAACTCTGTTAATGCGGTTTTCTTTCATAAATAGTGGATGGATTAGGAATGCGAACAAAAAGTGGAGTAAAGAGAATTGAGGCGCATCGGATGCCTGACGCGCGAAGTCCAAACGTGTTCATTCTCGTGTGCGGCTGTTCGCGTACTGCCTCGAAAAGGACTTTTTTTCACATCCAAGAGGAAGTAAAAGTAATGATTGACCTTGTGATGGGAGCAAAGAAGACTTAGAAGAAGCAAGTACATCTGAGTCAAAATTTCTCTCCCAATGGAATAAAATGGCAGAGGGATAATCATTTCTGTTGTAACAATAATGTAGATATAATTCCACTGGAATGTTCCGCGCACATAATATTAACAATAAATATTTATTTCCATCCGCCGGTGGATTTTTCCGCTCAAAATTTTATAAGTGTGCATTAATGATTCCTCTTTTTCCTTTTGTCAAATCCTCGTTCACAAAATTTAAGCATAAAGATTTAAAAATTTAAATTTTAAACATTAATGCATTAGATAATTTGTTGATTTTTCAGTCATAATCATGTTTGCAGGATAGGAAGAGAAAATAAAATGACAAATGTATGACTAAAATATACATAAACGTGATTTTTACCTTTTCAGCTTCGATGTTCATCATGGCAGCAGAGGTTGGACCATTTCCCTCTTCTCAAGTTCAGAGGACGCGGGTCCCACGGGACAGCGAGGAAACGACCGCGTCGTCGGCAATCGACATCCGCTCTGACGGTCTCTGACCGCGCACGACTCCACGGCTCGACCCGTATATGTCGTCTCTGAAGTCGGCGTCGGCAGTCGGCGTCGGCACTGCGGGTTCGGTGCGGGCAATCGGTGATCCGGGTGATCGCTGACGCAAGTGACGCTCTAGCTTGGCGGGCGATTCATGCAGCTTTTCATTCCGCGTCAGTGGCGTCGGTGCTGAAATTCGAGCGAAATCGAGAAATGGATCATGGATCTCGACCTGCAATCAGTGCAATCCACACCCGTTGCCCGTTGGCGTACCCAAGCGGCCAAGCTGAAAGCTCTTCTGTAGTTTCTGTACTGTCTGGACATGTCTGGTCATGATCCAGCACGACGCACGACATCGCCGAGCAACCCAGACAATTAGTACCGTCTTTCTCCGCTTGGATACTTCTTGGTAGGAATTGTGGAACCATGGGATACGAAGAAAGGCGGAGCCCCCCCCCATACCCACAATGTTAAACTGGTACAATGTATGTAATCAAATGGGAGGTACCTAAGCCCCGCCCTTATTCGTATCCCATAGCTCTACTGTCTACTGTGAGTGAGTGACGTGAGTCATGAGTGTACAGGCAAGTACAATATTTCAGTTTCGCACCAAATTCGTACAGGCGGCTCCATAAGCTCCACTCAATTTTTTGCTCAATTTGCTGCACTAACTTGTCGGTGTCGGTACAGCGTCACCTAACATTCGGTTCGTTTTGTCAAAAAATAGTAAACTTGCATGCAATTATAACAATTTTAACTGCGTGATTGATTAGAAATGGCGAGAAATTGACGATTGATATAGAATATACCGTAGAATACAGTAGCAGACGGCAGTCATTAGGGACTTAATCCACATCCCTTGGCAAAATTCTCACCGCAGTTTTGCTTAATTTCACTCGAACAATTACATACATACCTGGTATGCTTTAATTATCCTGAGAGGGGTGCAAATATGTATTTTATGTATTCATAAATGATTTAATTGCGGATTTAATTGTATATTATTCATGAATTTTTTCTTAATTGAGATTTAATTCCTACATTCAGATTTTTTAGTTGATTTATCCCTAAATTTGTTTGCCATTTTGTGTGCCTCTTTATAAAGTTTAAGTTAATTATTCAACCATACTATTGTTTATTTTACTTATTAGTACATATTACATCGCATTGTAGTGATAAATGAAAATTATAATAACAAGGTGTTTAGTATAAAATCTTTAAAAATACTAAAGATGTTACGGTAGCGTAGTCATTGCATGTATCATATTAATATTTAATTTATTTAATTAATGAAACAATTTTATCAGATTTTTAGACAACACACCAGAACAGCACAATGGACGAGGAAAAAGTTGTGAAGATGATCCAGTCTTGCTTGATTTTGGACAAAAAATGCGTTACCACCAGGGAACTGACAAGTAATATAATAACACCCGTACCCTGAAAAAAAAATATAATGAAATTTAAACAATTTTTCCTTAATGAGGAAATGAGGAGTATTGATTATGCATAATTTTTGTAATCGATGGTTTCATTGCATCTTGGACGGAATCATAAAGGATATTTCTCTATTTGCAGGGCTATTCAGGGACCAAGTTGGATCGTCAATCCCTTTTGCCAGGCTTGGCTATCCTACCCTTGTCTCTTTTCTGAAAACCATTCCTGGTGTCCATAAGGCAGGAACAGCTCCAGACGGAGACATTCTGTTAGGCTACGATGCCTCACATAGCAACATGGGGCACATTCAGGAACTGATCCAGCGCCAACAGGCCAAGAGGAAACCATCTTCTGCCAAGTACTCTGTCAAGCGACCTATGCAAGTATGTTATATATTTTAATACAATTATTTAATTCAATAAGTTATTCAATTATTTTATCTTCTATTCTTTAGGTTTCTCAGAGTCGCTTCCGTTACTCTCAGTCTATGAGGTCTTATCATCAACAGGTATATGTTATAATTTAAATATTTATATTTTTTCTGGGGAATAAAATTTTAATATGACGGCTTTTATAATAACTATTTAAACTTTATAGCAAATGTCTTTGCCCAAGTGGCCCAAACATCCATCTGTTGAGATGCATCGGCCAATTTCCTCTGCTCCTGTTGCCAAGCAAAATTACTTTGCTACTGCTGGTCCCTCTCGACCTTCCCCGAGCAGTTTCCGGAACACCAACCTCCAGGTTGCCAAAGAGGAACCATTCTTTAAGCAACAAAAGCCATATGAAGAGTCTATACCAGCATCTGACGTACCCAAGAAAGCCTCGTATGAAAGTGGCCAAGGTGATAGGAAGTCAATTTCGTTCACCTCTGAACAAAAGGAGAATCTGTTTGCCAACTTGGATTTGCACAAGCAAATCAATTATTTGCACAAGCAATTCAATTCTCAGAACAAGGTTACGAGTGGTTCTGAAAATGTGAACCCTGCATGTGGTTTCAAGCCAATAACAGACGTTGAAATGGATAACAATGCCAAGCTGAACATGAAAGATGCAGAGATGTTGTTGATAATGGAAGCTTTGGTAAAATGCTGAAGGAAACGCATGAAATTGCAAAGGACGATCCTGCGACTGTTATGGTAAACTTGAAAAAAAAAATGCTTGTTAGACTTAAAAATTTAAATAAAAAAATCACACTTAAAGGTTAAGGAACCCATTGTGAAACCACCTAAATCTCCAAGGACTGAAAATCCAATGATAAGAAACCATCAGTTGGTTGGTGACGACTTCCTGATGTACTTGGCCTTTAGGAACTTGAGGGGTGTCATGAGGAAGGGATTCCCAGGTTGAATTTTATATTATATATACAGAGATTTTTTACAACTGAATACATATTTCAGAGACAAATTCTCTTTACTGTGGATTTTGTTTCTCGGGAGCAACCACACATAAAGCAATTCGCTACTTGCGAGACTTCAAGGACTTCATCTGGCACAAGAAAATTGTGATGCTTGGTCACATGGACATTTTGGAAGTTGGTTTTGAATCGAGGAATTCTCAACATGTTTTAATGTAAATTAAAAACTTTAGGAGGGTTACAATTTTGAGAAGAGCAAGTACAACATGAGTGTGATCTTGGAAGACCTTTACTGGCAAGGAACCAAGACCAAAGTACTGACCTTGCCATTTTTGGACCATCACCCTGGTTCAGAGAAGTACATTCATGAGTGGAATAACTGGATTCGCACTCTGACTAGTAACTCAATTTTATTTTAAATCAGAACAGAATTGTAAATTTTTCCTTGCAGAGAAAGACTATGTTGAGGAAGTGCTTGATTTGGAGAAGGCAATTACCAGTGAAATGCCTATTCAGGACGTTTACAAAACGTAAAATCATTTAAATTATATATATTCTTAAAATTTTGATTTGTTAAAAATGATATAACATTTTTCAGTCACAGGCACTACCCCAGAGGAATGAATTTCACCATTGGAATGTGGTCTCATTCGACCAGAGCTTACATCCAAAAGTTTCTCCATGAAAATGCTGGAATTCGTTATTAATTAACGAATGTCTTCTCAAAAGCCATGTTTAGTTCTATAGTTTCCTTCACTCACCTAAGGTTGTGTGTTACTCTTATTTTATATTACACATAGTTTTACCAAAAAGCATTAATTGAAATGGTGGGACTTACGTTTATGAAAACTATTACATTTCATCCCATTCTTAATTTCTTTGGAAATTTAATAATTTTCCAGATTATTGAACTGATTCTGTTAAAAAGCTTTATGTAGAAATGAAACATAAACCTGCTAAAATGTGGAATAAAATATCTTTAGATACATTTACTCGTTAGTTAAAAGTATTAAATTTAAATATCTGATACAATTTGGATGGAAGTATACTTAAAATAAAATAGCATGTTTTTGATAAAAAATCATCCAAGAAGCTAGATGATTGTTTCCAAGTTGAATTTTATTCCTGCCAGGGGCTGCGGTGAAGGAATGAGTTTTTCTCGAATGGTGAGCATAAAATATTATGAAATGTGAACATTCTCATAATACACATCCAAATATTCCAAATTTATGTTCTTATATTGTAATGAAAAAACATTGCAGATGGCAACAAAAGTGGTTGGCCTTTTGGGCGAGTCTCTAACGTTAGAAGCTTCAAAGGATTCTTTTACTGGCAAAGCACATCCCAGCAAAGTTTACAGTGCAGTTGCCGACCTTCCTAATCCTCTCTGCAAAGAGCAATTGACAAAGTTTGCTTTGGTCTTGTCTGATGAAGTCTGAAATATTTAAGCGTTACTAAATTATAATTTTTTAGACGAAAACAAAAAAGTTCTATTTTCCGAAGGAGAAAAACTGGCAAGGCTGCTGAAAGACCGATTCGAGCCAGGAAAGTCATCAGAAAAGAGAAAGTGGAAACCCATCGAGTACACCAAAATCAAGTGGTGTCTCTCCTACATGCTGAGCAGAATGCCAGCAGAAGTTTCTGCTGTGTGGACAGAGCTTTCGTCGAATTATCCAAATGGGCTCCAAATTTTGTTCCAAGGACACTGTATGACTTTGAAAGCGGCGTAGGTTCTGTCCCATGGTAAATTTGAGATTCCCTTTAAATTGCTAAATGATTTATAAAAATGTTTCTTCAGGGCCGCAATCTCAAGATGGTCAAAACAGTTGGAGGAAATTCACTGCATTGACTCCTCGAAAGACATGGTCAATCTGGCAGAGCTTCTTCTTAAGGGAGGAGAGGCTGGTGGAAAATTCCACGTTCCCCAAACATATTTTCGCCAGCTCATGTCGCCCACAGTGAATGTAGCAAAATCAAAATTTATTATTAACAAATCTAACTCGTATTTTATTTTCAATTGCAGAGAACTTTTGACTTGGTCGTAAGTGCCCACACATTGTTTGAGTTTCCAAGCCTAGAAGCTCGCTTAGACGCTCATATAAATCTGTGGAGAAAGACCAAGGATTATTACGTGCTGGTGGAGTTGGGGACGAGAGAAGGATTCAAAGTTTGTTTTATCAGAATCGTCATATAACTGTCTTAAAAACATAATTTGCAGCTTATTGATGAAGCCAAGGAATTCATCCTGTTTCAGTCAAAGAAAGAAGGCCAGGAAATGCACATACTCGCTCCGGTAAGAAATTTTTATCATATGATTTTTTTTTTATTAAAAAATACTCTCCATTTTAGTGCCCTCACTCACTTGCTTGTCCGCGCTTGTTGCGGGAAGGAGACAGGTCGCCTTGCAACTTTGAAAGTCGATATTATAAACTTTGGCCCGAAAACGATGGGGAAGCCTCCAAGGAGCGTTTCTCATTTGTCATCCTTGGCAAAGGCCGGAGGAAAAGTCCATCACCGTCTTGGCCCCGGATGGTTCGGGCGCCGATGGTCAGAGGTGGGCATGTGATCTGCTCGTTGTGCACACCAGAGGGAAAACTTGAAGACGTGTAACATTTACTAAGTCGAAGGACGGAAGGTAAGCGCAGACAAATTTTAAAGTCCTGCCAGTGCTAATTTCTTAAATCGCGTCAGGGCAAGTTTTCTTTGCGCAAGATATAGTGATTGGGGTGACCTGGTACCAGTTTCGTTGCGGCAGAAGGAGTTTGATGTTAGAGACAAAGTTAAGAAGGAGAAGATATCTGAGAACTCTGATGATGCTCAAAAGAGTGAACATCAATATGTTGCTGCAGACGAAGGAAGGCCTCTTGTTAATTAGTAAATTTTTTAATTAAATATTATGTAACTTATGTTTAAAGAGCGCGCCCAATAATTTGAAATAAAATAATTTCCAATAGGCAAATTATAACAGGAGGATTTTTATACATTTATCATATGAGTGGAAAAGACGCAATCTGCAGAAAATGCTATGGTTGAAAGAAAAGACGAAATTCCTTTTAGTCTCATGGTTCGGGATAATATAATGATAATTGTAATCAAACTAATTTTAGAAATGGTTTTAAAATTAATGTACGTTTTAATGCGTTTCAATCAATTAATTTATTCCCTACTATTTTCATTAATATACCAAATGAAAAAAAGATAAATAAATATTTTGCTTATCTTTGATTGATTGAAACAAGATTCATAAGATTCTGATAGCTTTGCCCTTATTCCCCAGTTCTATGATGTCTTCTATAATTAATTCCAATTGGATTCCATAATTTAACTATATCCATGGCCCTATGCAGTAAATTTATTCATTTTTACGTCAACTGCATGTAACACAAATTATCCACAAAATGAGATTTCAATTCAGCGAGAGTGACGTAGGTTGATTCAATATTTGAAAGCAAAAACCTAATTTCATTTTATTGTTGCAAGTCTTCAAATGAAATATCAATATTTTAATTTACATTAATATAATTATAATTATTGGGGAATTTAATATATTCAATCACATTTAAAAAGAGTTAATTCATAAAATATTATGCCGGTTGATATGCAATTGACTTATAATGACCTCAGCTTCTTTAAGAAGTGCGAGTCCGGTGTGACAGATTTTAACGCGAGAGCGCGCATTACCACTGGCCGAACGCTGAGGGGTGATAATAGCAGCCACCCCAGGTTGCAGCAGCCTCCAGCCAGAACACAATTCGGCCGCGACGATTTTTCTTACCGTGTTGTCAAACACTGGAATGACACGCCACCCGCCGTGAAGGAATGTACGCCGGCACAGTTTCCCCTACTGTGCAAGGCGTACTTGTGGCAAAAACTTGATTTTAATTTAGATGACAATGACAGTCTAAGCGAGGAGTAGTTTCTCTCCCGCCGACGGCTCAAGTAACTTTTAACGTATGGTGCCGTCTCCCTATTTTACTCCCTCTGATGGCTTCAGCGGCCGGTGACTCTCACTTCGCAAGAGCAGCAGAGTTCACTGTGCTTTAGCAGCCTGTCTGCTTGCAAAAAGCCATTTCTCCATCCATTTCCCCCAACTAATAACAACAAATATTCTGACTTGTATTTTCAGAACAAACTTTTTTTGAAAATTTTTGTGATGTATGTTTTGTAATTGATGGAGAATAAATAAATAAAAACCTTGGAGTTGCGTAATTCTAACATTTTCTTTTGTACATTAAATTGTGCATTTCAACAGTAAAAAGGAGGCCAAATTATTGATCTGAAAACACAATTTAAAAAGTCAAATAAATATATACTTTTATTGAAGGAATAAAAAAAAAATTGAGAGAATTTTGAAATTCAAAAGTTTTTTTTTATTTCTATCCTCTTATAAGTTCAATTAATAACAACCATTCAATCAATAATCTGACAATTATTAATTTATTGTAACTTTTTTAAACTATAGTGTGTATAATTTAATTTTTCATCTTCAGTTCCAAATGCTGCACAATATTAATTCCTCAAAATGAAGATCATATTCCCGTATACCCGTTTTAATTTAATTTTCGTTGCTACCGTGGTTTCTCTTTCTTTTTTGACAAAATCGAAACTAACGCGATTGTTGCGATTAACGGAAATTTTCATTTCCCATTGTTGCTTTTGATCATTTGAAATTCAACTGCTGGCAGATCGGCTCTCTGATCTCGTTTACAAGATGCCATCGACTGATCGCCTTGGACGGGACCTCACAGCAGAGGATGTCACCACCGTCGATTTTGTGGACTGTTCAACATTGCCAACAACCACTTACCACATCAGCATCGGTGGCAGCGGAGGCGACGAATCCACCTTGCCGAAGTGGATTACAGTCATCCTGACAGTCTCCGCTTGTTTGGCCTGCTTTGCGGCGTTCAGAGGTAAGGTGTAATAATGTAAACTTAATAGAAAGAATTCTTAAAAGTGTATTCATCCTTTTTTTTTTTAAATTTAAAATCGTTTTCTCTCGTGGAAATAACCGAATTTTGCTGGTTTTGACCGGAGTTACGGACTCTCGGTGGTCGATTTTGGGGGGTAGGCGAAATTTTGGGAAGATCGGCGTACTTGAAAAATCGCAAGAATTTATTCGGCCGTTCAAAACATGGCCTAAGAATTTTCATCAATTTATAACAACCTTTTGATCACAAGTCTGACAATTTTTTATTTATTGTATTTTTTTAAACCAGAGAGTACATAATTTAATTTTTCATCCTCAGTTCCAATGATGCACAATAATTCCTATCTAAAAATCTCTCCGCTCAAAAATTAAGATCATATTCCTGTATACGCGTTTTAATTTAATTTTCGTTGCTGCCGTGGTTTCTCTATCTTTTTTGAGAAAAAAAAAAATGTAAAAAAAATCAAAACTATAATGCGATTGTTGCGATTATTGGAAATTTTCATTCCCATTGTTGATTTTGACCATTTAAAAATTCAACTGTTCGCTGAATTCGCTGCTCGACTCTAAAAAATTCTCGATTAAAGGATGCCATCAAGTGATCGTAATGGACGGGACCTGACGGCGGAGGACGTCACCAACGTGGCTTACTTTGAAGAATTTGTTTGGGTCGAAGATGTTCTGAAAACGGGTCGCGCGGTACTTGACGAAAAACATCAAACTTGGGTCGACGCTTTCATGAAGAAAAAAAAGATCTCAGACCCAAAGGAAGTCCATCTGAGAGTCGCGGTTGCCAACGGGAAAGTAACCCACGCTGGCATCGGTCGCTTTCACGGGGTGCCAGCCAAGAAGATATTCCTCCCTCCTTGGCAAATGCGAAACTTGAGTGGCGTTTCCGCTGGCGTCTCAAATGTGAAAGTTCGAGTCGACCTGGTGGAGTTGGCAGAAGGACGCATCATCAAGCTGAGCACGGACAAGTTGCTGAACGAGGCGGAGCGATTGGAGATTCACAACTTTGTGATTGGTCTGGCTGCGGTGACGGAGGGTGACCGGATCGAGTTCCAGATGTCGGCTGGATTCCAAATTATAGTCAAAATAGAGAAGACCGAACCGCCATTCGCCGTTAGAATGCATACAGGCGTGAAAACAGTTTTCTTTTGGATCGACCAGCAAAAACGCCTATGATGAGCCAACAACAGAGCTCGTTCTAGCCACTACAGAATTGCATCACGCGTCCGGACTCGATTTTGTGGCTGAGACTGAGGTCACAGAGGGGGAGATGCCGCCCGAGACTGAGGGGGAGATGTCGCGTGTCGAGTCTCTTGATGATATGCCGAATCAATCTACAGCTCTCAATTCTGGCAACACACGACGGAGGACGGAGGGAAGAGGCCGAATCACCAAGGCTGCTGCCGCAGAAGAAGCGCAATGACGAGTCTCATCATAATTCGGACGTCGGTCAACCTGTCGACTTGCAGAAAGTTCGAGAGACGAGACTCCTAGTTGTGGACAAGAACTCGACCAGCAACTTGAACGCCGAGGTGCGCGCCGCCCGCCTGAAATTCTACAAGCAAAAGTGACTAAACCCCTGAATAAATTCTTCGTGATATAAGCATGGAAAATATTCCTATTTTTTATATGAATTCTTCCCATCATTTGCTAAGACACAATATTTTTAGCTTAATTACTTCTTTTTGAATGAATAAATTATATTGATCAATGTTAGGAAATTAGATTTTTTGACCACGTTTTATTTTTGCACGAAAAAAATTTATCTTTAATAGGTAAAAATAATGAATTAAAAAGTTACATTACAATGTTAAAAAGATGCATTATTGACAAAAAAAAATTTAAAATTTATGTTTTTTTTACGAAAATTAAATTTTGTCCATTTTCCGTGGCTATTTATTTACTCTATTGCGCCCTTGATGAGAATTTGGTGTCCCGAGAAGTCTGACTGACAGTTGGTCTTCATAGCTGTACGCCGAGTTGGACAGTGGTCTGGAGTCGGACAGATCTCTCTCATGCTGCTTCAACTGCGGGAAAATCAGCGGCAAATTAATGAAAAGCCTCGACAAGTGCCGTTTAATTTTAAAATAAATAATATTATGCATACTTTAATTAAGTCAAAAGGTGTGCTGAGGCTGGTTTTGGTTTGATTGGGTCCAAGAGTGTCATTTACCTGGAAGGTCTCTTCATCGAGAGATTTGTTTGATTCTCAAGCTCCGAGAGTGCAATGCTGAGGAGGGCAGACGTTTTCCCACACTCGGAGATGTTTTCCTTGTTCATGGTGACCAGATCCTGCAGTTGATTTTGTTGTTCGGCGCAGCATCGCAGCGAGCATTTCAATGTAGTGCTCTTGCAGAGAGAATGATTCACCAGGAATACACTGGATGCAAACTATAACACAATGGACAGTCAGGCTTTTTATCATAACTGATCAAATGTTATGATTTTCTATTGAAAAGTTTATTTTTTAACTGAGCACATATCGATATATCACTGCTGTCAAGGTAAATTGTCCGATCGTCCCCTTTCCCATGAGAAATAATAATGCTGGAGCCCCACTTGGAGACATTTTCCGCAGCAGTGACGATGTAACATGGCATTATAAGGTATAAGCACCTCATTGAAATGCTTTTTGTGTCAAGAAGCTGCAATGAGTGACTTTGAATGAATTTTTCAGGTCAAACTGCTGTGCAGAGCAAGTCTGACTGTACAAATTATTTCTTTTAGAGAGTTAAACAGAAGTTTCAGCAAACTATGCCGTTCCTGTGAGGAAAACAAATCACCTTGACAATGATGGCAGTCGTGGTGTTGCAAGCGGCTTGAATAAGAGTTTGTGATTTCTCCGTAGGTAGACGACCAGTGAGATGTGGATTTGCTGCATTTTCTTCACATAATGGTCACATCAGGTCAGGGCAGAATTAGCAAATAATCATCACGATGAGAATGCTGCACAAGGGTCATAACCTAAATTAATCATTTTTTAGTTTTTAATTACTTAAAATGGACAGTACATTTAGCAGTAAAATTACAAAATTTTATAATAATTCACCTTTAAGTGATTCACAAGGCTAACAACAGGCCGGTGATGTTTGTTGGCTCTCATTTGCAAACTTGCTTGGCCGAAGAAGGGTGTCACATTATGGTCGATGGCTGGAATTTGATAATTAAAATTATTTAATTGAAATATCATCTATAATAATACTGCCTGAACGCACTGGCTGGCCAGCGAGCGAGCAGGCTGGATCTGGACCACCTGGAAAACTGCTTCAGAAGTGACATAAGCGCCTCAGCGAGCTGACAAAAAATATTCCCAGTCAGTAAAAAATTTAGCAGTTTTCAAATAAAAGTTGAATACATGCCATGAGCGAGACCAAACATTTTGAACGGAAGATTTTAATCTCTCTGCGGAGTTAATCCCGGCGGCGACATGAGACGCAACAGCAACACACGTGCTTGTTTCTTCAAATCAAATCAAGAAGTATAAAATTTTATACTTCTTGAATCAAATCTCAAATCGAAGACAATTAACAAAAACAACGGCCACGCCCACATTTTTAGTTTCGCGGACACCTGTCGTGGGAAGCGGGAAGCGCAGGGAAGCGGGAACTTGGAATGTAAACACGAGAATAGATACAAAATTTAATGTGCTGTTAAGCTTTTCAAAGCTCCGCCCACATGTCACAAAATCGGAAACTCCTCTCCGCTGTACGTAGACCTTGTTCCACGTTTATTTGGAGCTAAAAACCAGAGTACCAGAGCGAACTAACTTCCAAGAAGCTAACTTCACCGACAGGTCCATGCACCGACCGCACCGACGGACAATAAAAAAATGCTTGCTCTACACCCTGGCGGACTTAGACTCAACTTAAGTTGAGACTTTATATGCGGCGCGGACTTAAGTTTTTTGTTAAGTCGACTCAGTCCTCCCTAATTAAGCCTAAATAGGATGGGAAAAAAGAAAAAAAAATAAAAAGGGCGACAGTTAAATAAAAGTAATTCGGCCGCAAACCTTGAATAAATCAATAAATCTCCTATGGATTATCCCGCGTGCTGGGTCGTAGGCGGAAAAAATGCAGCTTCACCATTGGAAATTCAATATTCAATCACATATTTAATTAGAGTTTCAGTCATAAAACCTCTGAGTTGCGTATTTCTAACATTCGCTAACATTTTCTTTTGCGTATTAATTTGTGCAATTAAACGGTAACAATGATCGAGAGGCCAAATTATTGATCTTAGAACTAAAAACACAATTTGAAAATCAAATAAATATAATATTATGCTTTTATTGAAGGAATTGAATAAAAAAATTGCAGAGAGAATTTTGAATTTAAAAGTTTTTTTTTTATTCCTATCCTCCTTAAAGTTCAATTCATAAATTGATAACAATCATTCGGTCATAAATCTGACAATTATTTATTTATTGTAATTCTTTGAACCAGTGTATAGCTTAATTTTTCATCTTCAGTTCCGATGCACAATAATTCCTATATAAAAATCTCCGCTCAAAAATTATGATCATTCCCGTATACCCGTTGTAAATTAATTTTTTTTTGCTGCCGTGGTTTATCCTTTATCATTGTTTGGGGAAAAAAATGTTAACAAAATCAAAACTAATGCGATTGTTGCGATTAATGGAAATTATCATTCCCATTGTTGCTTTCAATCATTCAAAATTCAACTGTTCGCTGAATTCGCTGCTCGACTCTAAAAAATTCTCGGTTAAAGGATGCCATCAAGTGATCGTAATGGACGGGACCTGACGGCGGAGGACGTCACCAACGTGGCTTACTTCGAAGAATTTGTTGGGGCCGAAGATGTTCTGAAAACGGGTCGCGCGGTACTTGACGAAAAACATCCAAGTTGGTTTGACGCTTTCATGAAGAAGAACAAGATCTCGGACCCAATGGAAGTCCATCTGAGAATCGCGGTTTCCAACGGGAAAGTAAGCCATGTTAGCGTTCCCCGCTTCCACGGCGTTCCGGCCAAGAAGATCTTCCTTCCATCTTGGCAGATGAAAAACTTGACAGGTGGTTCCGAAGACCTCTTGCCCCTGAAAGTTCGAGTGAGCCTGGTTCAATTAGCCAGAGCACGAACTATCGAGCTATTAAGCACGGACAACATGCTCAATGCGGCAGAACAACTCTACGCTCACAATTTCATAGTTGGATTGGCTGCAGTCTTGGAGGGTGACAGGATTGAAATCAGAATGGCAGATGGAAACCAGCTGAATGTGAAAGTTGAGAAGACAGAACCACCCGTGGCTGTTGGAATGCATGCAGGCGTGAAAACAGTTTTCTGTTTGAGAAGCAAAAACGCCTACGAGCCGACCACGACCACGGAGCTCGTCATTCCAGCCACCAACATTGATCTGAACAATTCGGCCGGACTCGATCTTGAGGCGGAGGTGGAGGAGGAAATGCGGTGAAATGTTGAGTCTTTGGAGGATTTACCGTTGGATCAGCGGCAGCAGAAGCGCCCGAGGGAAGAGGCAGAATGCCAGGTGCCGCGCAAGAAGCGCAAGGACGAGACAAATCAAGGTTTGGACGCCGGTCAACCTGTCGACCTTGACGAGATTCGCAGAATGAGGCTCCTTGCTGTGGACAAGTCAAACAGCAGCCAGAATGCCGAGGTGCGCGCCGCCCGCTTGAAATTTTACAAGCAAAAGTGACTCAAGTATTAATAAATTTTGCGTGATTTAAGCATGGAAAATATGCCTATTTTTTTGTATCGAAGACAATTAACAAAAACAACGGTCACGCCCACATTTTTAGTTTCGCGGACACCTGTCGTGGGAAGCGGGAAGCGCAGTGAAGCGGGAACTTGGAATGTAAACACGAGAATAGATACAAAATTACAAAATTTAATGATGTGCTTTTAAGCTTTTCAAAGCTCCGCCCACATGTCACGAAATCGGAAACTCCTCTCCGCTGTACGTAGACCTTGTTCCTCGTTTATTTGGAGCTAGCAGCTTTAAACCAGAGCGAACCAACTTCACCAACCGCACCGACGGAAATCAACAAACACAAAACAAAACAACACCGAAATCACTGATTATCATAGTCGATTAATTAGACACCAAAAAGCACATGGACGAGCGTCATACTCTACAAATAAGTTGTTATATTTGATCAGATTTATTTAAATATTTTCGAAAAATTTCCAGTTCTACGTTTTTGATTAACAATCGCATCCAAGAAGATGATTGTTTCCAAGTTAAATTTTATTCCTGCGAGGGGGTGTGCTGTAGGAATGAGTTTTTCTCGAATGGTGAGCATAAAATATTTATGAAAATATTATGTAACTCAAAATAGTATTATTGCTCATCAGATGGTGCTTTAATATTAGCATTTTTAAATAACAGACTCATGTGATTCATATAGTAATGAAAAAATCGTTGCAGATGGCAACAAAAGTAAAAGCAGTTGGCCTTTTGGACGAGTCTCTAACATTAGAAGCTTCAAAGGATTCTTTTACCGGCAAAGCACATCCCGGCAAAGTTTACAGTGCAGTTGCCGACCTTCCCAATCCTCTGCAAAGAGCAATCGACAAAGTTTGCCAAGGTCTAGTCTGAGTCTGAAATATTTAAACTAAATTATTATTTTTGTTATTTTTATAGACGAAAACAAAAAAGTTTTATTTACCGAAGGAGAAAAACTGGCAAGGCTGCTGAAAGACCGATTTGAGCCAGGAAAGTCAACAGAAAAGAGAAAATGGAAACCCACCGAGTACACCAAGACCAAGTGTCTCTCTTACATGCTGAGCCGAATGCCAGCAGAATTTTCCGCTGTGGACAGAGCTTTCGTCGAATTATCCAAATGGGCTCCAAATTTTGTTCCAAGGACACTGTATGACTTTGGAAGCGGCGTAGGTTCTGTCCCATGGTAAATTTGAGATTCCCTTTAAATTGCTAAATGATTTATAAAAATGTTTCTTCAGGGCCGCAATCTCAAGATGGTCAAAACAGTTGGAGGAAATTCACTGCATTGACTCCTCGAAAGACATGGTCAATCTGGCAGAGCTTCTTCTTAAGGGAGGAGAGGCTGGTGGAAAATTCCACGTTCCCCAAACATATTTTCGCCAGCTCATGTCGCCCACAGTGAATGTAGCAAAATCAAAATTTATTATTAAAAAATCTAACACTTATTTATTTTTCAATTGCAGAGAACTTTTGACTTGGTCGTAAGTGCCCACACATTGTTTGAGTTTCCAAGCCTAGAAGCTCGCTTAGACGCTCATATAAATCTGTGGAGAAAGACCAAGGATTATTACGTGCTGGTGGAGTTGGGGACGAGAGAAGGATTCAAAGTTTGTTTTATCAGAATCGTCATATAACTGTCTTAAAAACATAATTTGCAGCTTATTGATGAAGCCAAGGAATTCATCCTGTTTCAGTCAAAGAAAGAAGGCCAGGAAATGCACATACTGGCTCCGGTAAGAACTTTTATCACATGATTTATTTTAATCTAAAAATACTATCTCCATTTTAGTGTCCTCATTCACTTGCTTGTCCGCGCTTGTTGCGGGAAGGAGACAGGTCGCCTTGCAACTTTGAAAGTCGATATTATAAACTTTGGCCCGAAAGCAAGGGGGAAGCCTCCAAGGAGCGTTTCTCATTTGTCATCCTTGGCAAAGGCCGGAGGAAAAGTCCATCACCGTCTTGGCCCCGGATGGTTCGGGCGCCCATGGTCAGAAGTGGGCACGTGATCTGCTCTTTGTGCACACCAGAGGGCAAACTCGAAGACGTGACATTTACTAAGTCTAAGGATGGAAGGTAAGCGCAGACAAAATTTAAAGTCCTGCCAGTGCTAATTTCTTAAATCGCGTCAGGGCAAGTTTTCTTTGCGCAAGATATAGTGATTGGGGTGACCTGGTACCAGTTTCGTTGCGGCAGAAGGAGTTTGATGTTAGAGACAAAGTGAAGAAGGAGAATATATCGGAGAACTCTGATGATGCTCAAAAAAGTGAACATGAAAATGTTGCTGCAGACGAAGGAAGGCCTCTTGTTAATTAGTAAATTTTTTTAATCAAATTTTTTTCATATAACGTTCATATAGTGCGCCCATTAATTTGAAATAAAAATAAAAATCTCCAATAGTCAAATTATAAAATTAATAATTACCAATATAATTGTGTCCAAAATCATAGAAAATGGAAAATATATCTTACCCGCCATGAAAAAGTTTAACTAATTGAATTCATGCAATCAGAATCTCTACATTACTTGCACAGATTTGATTGCACTTTATTTTCGCAATGTGTTTGTTGAAGTTGACACTCGAGGTCCTCGAGGAGATGATCATGGAAAAAAGAAATCGGTGCTTTCCTCGAAAAGCCTTCAATTATTTTCATCATAATTTCTTTGCACTTAAACTTTTGCAAATATCTTGTAGAGACTATATTAATTTTGTAACTCTCCCCTTCTCTTAAGAGGTTCCATGGTGTAATGGTTAGCACTCTGGACTCTGAATCCAGCGATCCGAGTTCAAATCTCGGTGGGACCTGAATTTTGCTAACTTTAGAATTAATTTTGTAGAGGTTGCTCCTTTTAAGCTGTCTGTATTAAATATGCAAAAAATTATATTGTTCGCCAATGAACATAAAAAAATAAATTAAAAAATTTAAAAGCAAACGCGCATGATCGCAGACGGCCCTTGATAATCAAGCTGTGACGTCAGCGGCGAAGTGACAGGAGAAGTAGGAGTCGAGCGAGTGGTGCGCTGCCTTCCATGAGCGAGCGAGCCACAACATGCGGTCGCAAACAACAAAAATATAGGCAAGTGTGGCAATTTTGAGACTCGTTTCAGCTGATAATGCGGTGCCAGAGATCAGCGAGACGGGTGAGTCGCAGTCCGATAGCAACCGAATGTCCGATGACCGCCGCCGCCGAGAGCTGCTGAGGCGCCACAAATTTATTTTTAGCAGCCAAAACTTTTACTGACCGCAAACTAATAACATTTCTGTCTCGCGATCAGGTGCGTGCATGAGTCATCGGCCGGTGCCCTTGGTATGCAATCGACGCAGGTGCTGGAACGTGCGCTTCCGCATTTCCCTTAAATGATCGCCCGAGGCCTATTTTTGTGAGCCGATCTACGTCGTCCGTCTCCAATCGAGCTTCTCCATATCAACCCTGCTGTTGTGCTGGTCTATTGTATTGGAAAAGAGGAAAACTGAGAGAAGATGCCGTCGAGCAATCCCGTGTACCAGCCGACCACGGTCAGCTACGAGCAACAGGGAAGTGAATGGCCCGGCGGTGGCTATTTGTCGCAGACGGTGGCCTCCGGATTCAGCCGGACCCAGTGTCTGCAGTGGATGGTGCTGGTGTTGGGCCTCTTCTCGGTGGCCGCCGGCCTCATGATGGCCATCGAGGGCAGCATTGACTACCGAGCCACCAAAAACGTCCCCGTCCTCGAGAACGAGACCTCGGGCGACCTGACCATCGCCATCTGCGGCGCGGTGCTGCTCTTCGTCGGCATCCTCCTCCTGCTGGGCTACACCAGCGTCCTCCGGAGGCACCGCGGCGGCTGCTTCTGCTGCGGGGACAAAGACCTCGTACGCCAACTGCGCGACGGCAATAATGCTCAGGTGAATAAATGCAGCAAATTTTTATTTATTTTGCGCAATGAAGAAATTGATCATAAAATTAATTAACCTAAACATATTTGGTGAAAATTAAAAAAAAAAAGCATAAAATGTAATTTTTTTCAAATGTATTTCGTCAATTTATATTTTATTTTTTTTTTCACAGATTTAAATAATATAATAAATTAAAATTTTTAAAGTGTTTATATGTATCGATATGTATGCTTCAAATATAAATTAATTTATTTAAAATATTTCTGAGATAATTACAATTGATTTCCAATATTCATAAAAATTTTAATCTCCAACCTGGAAATCTGGTATCTATGACGTTAATGCAAAAGATTTATTAATTTTTCAAAACTGTCTGCAATGAAAATTATAAAAAAAAATTATGTAAAGAGGGCCTACCTTAATATGCTATAGGCCTATAGTACCATTAATTTTAATTAGCCTTTTGCTGCAAGTTAGTTAAAAGCCCAATATTGTTCAATAATTTCATTGGGTTTATTATTTTAAGCCTTAAATCATTAATATTATTTATGATGTCTTTTAACTTTTATAGGGTTAATTTATTTTTTGATATTTTAGATTTTGACGCTTGGACCGACATCGACTGACACGCTTGTTACTGCCCAGTATGGCCCTGTCTCCGAAATCGCCTACCAGCCTCCGACTATCAACGACGAAGAAGAAACCAGGAAGTTGATGGAGCACAAAGAAACGTAAGTGACCCTGAACCAATCACGCCCTTAGAACCTCCCTTAACTAATTGTCCTCTGCATTGTGGTGATTAATATTTTTATGTCAATCAATACTCCATCAGTTCTGAGGAGAACGAACGCATGATGGACCAAGACCCCAGGATTGTGCTCCGACCCCTGTGTGCAGCCTCTGAGCAAGAACAAAACTAACAGAACCACTGAGACAGCAACGGAACATTCCTGTTTGTGTTAATATTTTATAAGGTAATTCAAAATTGGTCCTCCTCAAGTAAATATTAATGTTAGTGTCCTTTTGTTGTAAAAAATGGCTAATTTGACTAGCTTATCTCTCGGTGATAACCTCGTTTGTGTGACGTAATATTAAATGTCATGACCTTGACCATGCTCATGGCCTCATCTTGACCTTTGATCATTATAGGAGCGGCTAATACAATTTTATTTAGATATGATTTAATTTTGATTAAATTAAAATTTCGCAGAGAACAAAAAGATGGGCAGAGCAAGGAGAAGAATCTTCCCGATCAAGACGGAGCACCGATGGCAAATTGTGACGAAGAATTCACACCTTCGCTTCGATCCTCCTTCTCCAGTCTTGAATTCAGGGATTCGTTTTCAATCTCCAGTTTGTCTTTAAACTCCATTAACAGTTTGTTTTTCGGCGTTAACGATGCTTCATCAAAACCTAACTAATATTGAACCACCTTTAGTTGTTTTCAAAGCTTGACGCTTAATTTAAACCAAGAAAAACACGATAAAGCTTTCACAATAATAGACGCAGATAGAGAACTATTATATATTACAAGTTAATGAAGTAGATATCCTAGCAAACCTAAAATTCCTGCAGCTAATTAAGCAACTCATTATTTTTAATCCATTCATTAGTCAACGTGAATGTGCCCTCGTCTCTGTTATGAAGTGAATGTTGCACAATGCCATAGTAAGAAGATATTGTGACTGCAATGCTATACAATCAGCTCTTACTACCAGTTACTGATGTGAGAACAATGTAACAGTGGACATGTGATAGTGAGGATTTGTTTCGTTCAGCATTTGCATTTATTTTCCAGTTGTGTCATGTATTAACTTTGTCATGATTTTAAAGTAATATCAATTGTGTAAATGTGGCCAAAGTGTCCGTCAAAAATTATATCCGTCTTTAAAACCTGCCAATCTTATATAAGATGATACTACTAAGATATTGGTGTCCAAAGGAATCTAACATTCTTCGTTACATCTGTTTCATTTTTCCAGAAAATCGTTATGTTCTTTCTAATGTGACTGCAAATAACTAAAAGTGGAAATGAGACTTAAACATAACTTATGTAATCGATAAAATGGTAATAAGCTTGTGTGCACAGCAGTTTTTATACTACGCACAAAACGCAAAAAATTTCACTTTCACGCATTAAATATTTGCACACATTTTTATCAATGTTTACATTTTAACTTCTGTGCGCTAATAGAGATTTGAAAGGAACTGATAAAAACGGTCCCAAACAACTATTACGTGTGAAATTATTTGCACATAACTTAATCTTTAGAAAGTGTCCTGAAAATTTCAATATTTTTATTTTGACCTAATTTTCTGAATTTGGTTGATTTTTGTGTGTTTAAATACCTTGAGTGCTATTATTTAAACTGCAATTTAATGAATCTCAAACAATTTGTTTTAAGAAAGTATAAATTATATACTGTAAACTGGCAATTATTATCTTGACAAAAAAACATAACATAATGTGACGATAGGTGTTCATATATATGCACTGGAAACATAATATTCTCAATTGTGTGCTTAAATTTATTTAACGAAACACGCATGTTCAAATTTTAATGTTTTCTGATATATATTAACTGGTTCCTTTTTATATAATTGTTGTATTCGAGAATAAATTGGTGTAAAGCTCAAAATTTTGTTTGCCCGACTATTTTTTGCAACTTTATTTCTATGATATGATATTTATAAATTAGACAATTAAATTTAAAAATTGCAACAACATAAATGATAATAACAGTAATTAATAATTTAAGCTCACATTATATATTTTTACTTCACACTGTGCTCTACCATAACTTTCAAAGTATTGGCGCCGTTTGGATTTCGTGACGTCACAGTTTCCAGCTGTGTATACATTTTTGTGTCGGACGTTCTCCAATTACGCAAGAAAGTTGCTCTTATTTTAGAAAATATGAAGAATCCACCAGCTCAGAGACGTTGCATTTGACCAGGAATTCCCTTGGACAGTCGCCGGTGCAGTTTTTCGACCGGACATCGGGTGCAGTCGGCGAAATTTGACAGCATCGTTGTCACGAGCTTGCCCTTTTGTGTACGTGCTAAGCCCAGCACCGTCTCAACATATCGCATTAGCAGTAGAACATGAGCAAATCACACATGTACACCACGGCCAATTTGTCGGACAAGGAGCTGAAGGACCAGGGCAACAGACTCTTCAGCCTGAAGAAGTACGAGGACGCCATCAACTGCTACACAAAAGCGATTGTATTCACATTCACACCAATTACATTATGATTTATTGCCATGCTAATTTGCTCATTCTCTAGATCAAAAACCCCAACCAGCCCACGTACTTCACAAACAGGGCGTTATGCTACCTCAAAATGAAGCATTGGGACAGGTGTGCGCAGGACTGTCGGCGCGCCCTGGACATGGACCCTGCCCTGGTGAAAGGCCACTTTTTCCTTGGACAGTCTCTTCTCGAGACTGAAAGTTTTGATGAGGCCACAAAGCATTTACAAAGAGGTTTGTTTGGAAATAGTAAAAAAATAATATAATATTCCTTATTTAAAAAAAAAATGAATCGGTTGGAAATAAATTTTGACACATCAGCGATTTTTTTTTCATAAATGAGACTAATTAAAAAAAAAGGTTTAAAATAAGTTGGCGTTTACGTGCCATGCAAAAATTTAATGTGTAATTAAAAGTTGAAATGATCTGGATCCAACCAGTTTTGGCACATTAGTAAGAAAGACTTTCTGAAACCAAAAAAGTGCAATATCTATTTGCGGTGAAAAGTGAAATTGCAAATGACTAATCTTTCACACTGATACATCTGTTGGAGCACCCACAAGTGCTGCAGTCTCAAATAATTGCTTCATGCGTATCACAACAACAACACCTGATTTTTCACTCCGTCTCGTTCCAGCAAATGACTTGGCAAGAGAGCAGAAGCTCAACTTTGGCGACGACATCGCCGGCCAACTGAGAATTGCCAGGAAGAAGCGCTGGAACCTGCAGGAGGAGAAGCGAATTGCTCAAGAAATTGAACTCCAGGTTGGATCCATTATTTGTTATGTAATGTGTTATGAATTACCGAATGATTTGCTTTTAGTCGTATCTCAACCGTCTCGTGAGACAAGACTTTCAGTCACAACTTGAGAGCATACCTGTTGAAGGGTTGAGTGAGGAGGAAGCATCAGAAAAAGCAATGCAGCTGGAAAATCAATGTGTAAGAAGAAAACTTTTATAGAATTTTTATATTTTCAAGCTGATATCGATTTTTGTTTAGGATAATTACCTTGGGGAGCTAAATGCGATTTTCGCTAAAATAGATGAAAGACGGAGGGTGAGTGTCGGTCTTTTTTTTATGAAATTTGATTGCTAAATAATCAAAATTATTTATAGAAAAGGGAAGTTCCTGATTATCTGTGTGGGAAAATTAGCTTCGAGATCCTCAGAGAACCTGTAATTACTCCAAGTGGCATCACATACGAGAGGAAAGACATTGAAGAACATTTGCAGGTACGGATAATTTTTATTATTATATAATATTTGAAATTTTTGACATTTTTGCTTCTTCCAGCGAGTTGGCCACTTTGACCCAGTAACTCGAGTTAAACTAACTCAGGATCAACTGATTCCAAACTTTGCTATGAAAGAGGTTGTTGACAATTTCCTACAAGAGAACGAATGGGCACATGATTACTAAAAGAGTGGTTCGAGTTTTCCACAAAACTTTTCTGCATCCAAACGTCACCTTTTGTTATTTCTAGCCGGAAAAAAACTCATTTTTAGCTCGTAACTACATTTCTTACTCTGATCTGGTGCCATAGATGTTAAAATTTCCATGATTTGTTTCTTTTACGTAGCAGGAATTCAACAATGCAAGCCTATGTTGAAAATTATCTGCACAAATTTTGAAACAGGAAAATGAGGCTTGGATTTTTACAATGTTGTTGCTTCGCTAGTACTTCGCTAACCATAACATGCATTAACTTATTAATACTCTCTGGTACAAAACTTTAAACAGACAGCACATGACATGTAAAAATTATATTAACAAACCTATCAATGTCTCATTCGAAAATATAATTCAACATGCTATTGTAAAAATTGGAACCGTACAGTTCCACAATTGGATTTGTTTGAATATTTATAAATAAATTATTGTTATTTGTAAAATACTTTTCCCCAACAACGGCTGTCTGGGAAAATTACGAGGCCTGCGTTAGGCTACTCCATTGCTTAAATGCTTAGCTTACAATGATTGTACATAAATGTATATGGTTAACTGATTATTATTCTCATAAAATAAAAATTTGATGCGTCGTATTTTAAGTTTTATGAAAAAAATTGTAGTTTTTCTTTTCATCCCATTTGTAATTAATCGAGGCTTTATTCAGTTACCGACGTCGAAGGAGAATTTCATTCACTGTCGTTCACAGGCTCTGAGCAATCAATGATCATCAACGTCTCATTAGAGAAATAATTCATGAGCCAAGCGTACATACGTTCCATTACACATGAGCATGCATGGATTGTGTTTTGATGCAGTGTCTAGACAGGCTCGCGCGCGTATATGTGTGCTCTGCTCCCGGTTTGTTTTTATTTTGAAGCGAAAAAGCAGCAAAAGAAAATATATATAAAACGGCTCGTCGGCAGCAGCGGCGTTCACATCGTGCGGCTTTTAAAATAATTGCTGCTGCGGTGTGTGGCATTATTATTATTATTTAAATATGAGAGATGCTGTTGTTGAATATTATGTGTACCTGATTTCTCAGAACTCATCTCTCGCCGGCCGCAGATAAATCATTTCTAGGCCATTATTTTAATCAAATTAAGATCTGAGGACAATAAATATATGCGCGCTCAAGAGACTCTTTCATTTTATTCGTATTGAGATGTGTGCATATTATTAAATTCAGAGACGCTTATCGATTGCACTACTGCACGGCCTGCGAAGAGTGCATTCACATTTTCACATCGCGGATCCACAATAAACTGTTCTCTTGTACACACGATGCGTGCAACCTGCATTATTATGCGCCGCGCACAATGAAATATAACGACCGCGTGTGTGCATTCGAATTTATTTATAACTGTGTTGCATGTCTCCATTATTCATCGCGAGAGCGAGTCGCTCATTTTTTTAAGCAAGCTGCAACCGCAAAGCGCGTTTTATTGCAATTTATGAATTTGCATACGCGCTGCGAGAGAAAATGAAACAGAAGCCTGCAAGAGAGCTGTTCGGCATAAATCAGTAAAATGAACGCTTCATCTAAAAAAACATTTGTATAAGGATTAGCAGAGCCTTTATATCAGTGCATTTTCATCCACTATAAAATGAATTTTAAATATTATATTTATTAAATATTTTAAAACACGAAAGCTTTTAAAACAAAACAAAATTTGTTAATTTTGAATTTTTTAATCCAAAACAAGAGAGAGGTAGAGAACATTTGAAGAGACGTGGAAAGCGAGTTTACTTTTTAGACCATTAGTTGAAGGAATTATTTTAAATAAAATTACAAAAAATAAGAAAAAAAATAAAGTAGTTATATTAAATAAACATAAAGTAAAAAAACCCCGGTTACTATATAATTTTGAAGAGCTAGAAACATTAAACAAAATTTTCGAGTCCAATCCCATTTGAATCAAGATTCTTAAAAATCTAAATGAAAATCATGTTAAATCTTTCGTATAAATTAAATATAATTTAACATATGCCTTTAATTATGCTCTTTATCATTGTGGCAATTATGAAATCAATGAATCAAATCAATATTTTCGCACCCTCCAATTTATCTAATTTCACGATGATATATAACTAAAAAAAAACGAAGAAATGGTTAAAATGAGATCCGATTTAATAAGTACAAAATTCAGAATGCAGATAAGCCAGCTTGAAATATTATTTGAAAAACCTATTCTCTTTATTGAAATTTTTACTGTAACAAAATTTCAAAATTTTTACCATCTAAATCTAACTGAGTGTTTGAGAGTGTATTAGAGGCCAATGTCAGTACATACGTCTAGCCTTTTTATTAAAAGCTCTTTAAAAAACGAGAGATTTTCATTTCTGTTAGAAATTCAATATTCAAGTGGAATTAATTAGCCCCATTAAAAATTTTATGGGAGGTTATTAGCCTGGGTCGAAAAGTGGGGCGCAAACCTTCCCGTCTGGCAGGCACGCCTCGGCGTCCTTTCTTGTGCCGTACTTTTTTTTCATCCTTTCGGAAAGTCTGAAACTGAAAGCAGGGGAAAAGCGGCTGCGAGAGAGAGCTAGACAGAACAAAAAGAAAAGCGGCGGCGGCGGCGGCAGACTGAGAGAAAGATAAAAAGTCGGAAAAAAACAAAAGCGTCGTCGGATGGCGTCTCTGGTGTGCAAAAAAGCCGCCGTGTTGCGCAAATTGCGAGAGAGCCGGGGCGTTTTTTCAGCGGCCTATTCGAACAAGTGCAGACGGACATATATATGCATATATAATTGCGACACGCCGCGCACATTCAAGTAGTGTCACTTTTGCCGCGCGCACACACACACGTCGGAAAAAAGCTGCACTCTCTCATATAATTGGCATAATTCTCGAGTGCAGTGCATCCTTCGAGCACCCTTTGACGATCAAAGCAACATGCAGCGAGCAATTTACGAGCCGCGACTGCAAAATTAGCCGACGGCACATTTATCCATATTGTGCAGTCTGCGGTGGTGCAGACTTGCACACAGGATTTTCGTGCGCCGGAGAGATTCTGCATGGGTGCACGCTTTTTGGATTTATTGCCGGCCGTCCGGCTCGCTCTTGTCCGTCCGCACGGCGTGATGTGCAAAAACCGATAACCATCTCGCGCTCGCTCGCTCTCATAATAAAGTTGCACACTCATTGTTTTATTGTTATCCTCGGAAACCGGTCTAAATTGATTATTGATCAAGAAGTGTAGTGGCTCTCGTTGAAGAAATGGTTTTTCATTAAAAATCAAAACGGCTGTGCCAGTTTTTGTCACGGTCCATATCAAGAGTCAAGAGGAAGAAAAATCACGGAAAAAACGCGGAAAAACCTTACAATTTAAAATTATCTAATTAATTCATTGCAACATGCGCATCGAGTGTGCTAATAAAATTTTTGGTTGTCAAAGCACATTTTTTTTAAATTATAATTTAGTTGCTACATTTTTGTTTTAATTTATTTTACTGTCTTCTTTTCCTACTTTAATGTTATTCAGTGTAATGATGTAAATGCGCGCGACATTGTTGTTCATTGTCAATCAATTGTCCTTGTTAAAGCTCGCATAAAAAACAGATAAAAACTAAAAATAATGAAATTAAAATATTATTTCCAATTAAAAAAGTAGCTTCTTTTAGCACCTTCAGCTAATTTATAGCAACGTTATGTGCAATTATGGATGTAACCTCTTTCATATGACAGCGGCGGATTGTCTGCAAATTGTGGGCACTTGCACACATGCATATTTGATTGTGTGTCTGATGTGCAGTTGAGAGCAAATATTAACATTATGCGGCTCGATTGCTTGGAATGAGGGAGAAAGGAAGATGATGAGATTGTCGGCAGGTGTTGATTTTAAATTTACTGAAATTTGTGAAGCAAGCAAAAATTTAAAAAGTACCAGCTAATTTATTTATTTAATAATATAAAAAATTAAATTAAACGAATAAATTTTTTTTAATTATAACATAATTTTTATTATTATTTATCATTACAATTATTTATTATCTTTATTGTTATATATTTATCAAAACTTTTATTAGCACAGGAATATGTTAAATTAAATTTTATTATAATATTTTATTATAATACATTTATTTTCAAAGTAGTAATAATGTTTGCATGGATTGCAAATGTTTAACAAAATGAATTTTAATTTCTTATGCGACAACACATTATAGTATAACATTATTGTACCACACACGACCACTCGTTTGCAATAGAGTAATTAAAAAAAGCAAAAATTCCAGTGTTAAAAATTTTACAAAGCGGGCATAAAATCACAATAATCTTGCTCGCATTTGGATTTCCTTGCGTAACACGGCACAATACAAATACTGAAAAACTCTTTCAACTTACGTCCAACAGTATCGCGGCTCCACTCTTATCGCAACTGATTGTTATGTAACAATAAGAATCATCAAGGAATTTATTTTAAATTAAAAATTATAGGGATTTTTTTACGATCCAATAAAAGTATTTCAGACGAGTCTAGGGACGCATCACTTAAATACCGAGCAAGGTCGTTTAAATTTAACACAGACAATTTGAGCCGTCCAAAAGTGTTTCGAGACTACCAGAGGGCAATAATTGATTGGCCGCCGTTTAAAAGGAGGAGAGTTTTCAAGGTTTTTTCTTTATAATATAAGGCTTGATAAGCAGGCGTGAGCTTCAAACAGCTGCGATAAGGTGCTGAGACGGTCAAAGTTTGTGAACGGAGAGAAGAATTAAATAATAATTATAAATATGGGCAGCCGCGACCACTTTTTAAAAAGGGTTTCAGAAGAAGATCTTCCAAAGTTATTGGATGTTTTGAAAAAGAATTTACCAGATTCTATTGTTGTAAGTTTTCAACTAATTATTACATTATAGATATAATTCTAATCCCAAAGCCGTACCACTGGATTTTGACGCATTTGGCGTGGCGGAAGAAAATCGAAAACTTGAAAGTAGATATTTTAAGCCCCGACTGGACCGACGGATCAGTGGTTTGCATCGCAGATAAACTGGCTGTAGGGAAAGGGTTATAATTATTTAAATTTATTAAACCAGAGAAATTTTTAAAAGGACGACAACAAAATTTATGGAGTTCTTTACGCAAAAGAAGACAAGATTGACAGCTTGGCACGCGCCTTGATTCACACAGATTTAATCGACTGGCACAGATTGAAGCAATTTTCCTCGGTGTTGGAGAGACACGTGACGGCGGTGGCTGAGATTTTGAAAATCAAGGGTTTCAAGCACACTGGCGACGCAATTGAAAATTTCTGTCATCTGCATTACATGTCTGTGGAAGAAGCAGCTAATTTGCCTTTACCTGAGTAAGTTTTATTCAAAAAGCATAATTAACTAAAATTATTAATAATATAAATTAATTGAGCCACAAGCAGATTTGCTCTTAGCAGGGATTTCAAAAGACTTTGTAATTATTAAACTAATTTTAATTTAATAATTAATTAAAAAATAAATTAAAGGCTCCCTGCAAATGTTCGTGTCGCACCGCTGGACCAATCCCATTTGCAAATTGTGTGCGATAATTGGCGCCACTACGACTATCAATACCGTCCGGTCGTGGCAAAGGAAATCGAATTGAACCCGACGATTGGAGTTTTTGTTAAAAACGAGCAGGGAGAAGAGGAACTCGCGTCGATGGTCCTGCAGTCCGAGTACGGAGCGGCGGGACTGTTGCAAACCGTGCCCAAGTTCAAACGCATGGGGTACGCGACCATTGCCATGGCGCACATCACCAGGGCGCTTGGCCAGAAAGGGTTCATGCCTTATGGAACTGTGCTGACGTGGAATGAAGGGTCGTCAAAGCTGTTACAAAAGCTGGGCTTCAAAATTCTTGGTATTTCAACTTGGGTTTATTTGAAGAAGCCGGACGAGAAATCTGATCACTAATTATGTAACAATGTTTTCCTTCCTAGAAATTTTATCTAGTTCAGAAAAAGAAATTCCAAGATTTCTTTTAATCTGATGGATGGTTTTTCAAAGTTTTCAATGTTTGTTTCATTTGTAAATCCATGTCTTGAAATTCGATTGAATAAATAATCAATTTTGATTTATTTCTTTATTTTCAATTCATTACATAAATCACTTGTTACACGATATCAAAATTTGAAAAACAAAGATCAGCATAAATATTTCTTGAGGGTCATTTTTTTAATTTCAAAAGAAAATTTTGAGGTTAAATGTTTCTTTTTCAGACAAAGTTTAACTTAAGACACCATGCATGTTTTGTCCGTTTTTTATTGTAATCGAAATTTTCGAATAAATTTTGAAAGCCTAAATTAAATTTTTGCATAAAATCTTTATTAAAATAGCAATAACTGATAAGCACAAATATTCCTTGGATGAATTTGATAGCAAACAAGCGACTCTCACCCCTTCGCTTTTGCTGCAACCCGAGGCTTTTATATCGCGCGCAATCGTAAATTTTCCTTTCCACGCCGAGACCGTAAAGCGAAAAATGCATTTCCCTCCCCGCAGAAAATAAAGTGGATCAGCGCTTTTCACTCTCAGTGCATTCATTCTCCTTCTCGGCGCAGCAACAACTCTCTCGTTGCGAAACTGCGGAGAACTGCACAAATAATAACAAACGCTGCGGCAGAGCTTTTTTGCTCTCGCATATATCCGAGCGCGCGTCAAAAGCGAGTCGCGACTAATCCTCGCCGTCTATCAATCCGAGTAGCGCGCTGCATATTTGCATACAAAGCCAGACAGGAATTAAACGCGTGCAGTGCGGGCGGGCGAGTGGGTGGCCGCCGACGGGCCAGTGTTTGCTCCCATACATATATGTACATATGAACATAGGCGCGCACATGTTACAGTATCCGCGGCGTGCACACACTGCAAGTAATACACCTACCTACATATTATGTGTGTGTGTGCATCGTTGATAAATATTTTGCACAACACCGACGGTGCCCTGGGGGATTGGCGCAGAGCACAACGCTTAACCCAACGACGCCGATGTTGTCATCCAAACGATGCAGCAAATTTCTATTTAAATTTTGACTGAATTACTAAAATTTATGATTGATTATAAACAGCATAACTGCAGCCTTTCGAAATGAAAATATTTCCAGATCATTTTTACAAGAAACACCAAAACCAGAGTAAAAATAGCTTCCGGAACATCATCAACTCTTCACAATAAAGAAGTAAAGACAAAATGCAAAGCAATATGACTGACTCCGAGAACAGGCGTGTTAAATGCTAAATAAAAGTGAAACAAAAGTGCCACCAATGAGACAAAATGAACAATAATTTTTTTGTCATCCATACAGTGTAAAAAAATCGTCTTTGCTTAAGGATCAACAGTAAATTTTATTTAAAAGCGGTCAAATATTGACAATAAATGTATCTCACTTGTAAAAATTAATAAAATTGATATTTCTATTCCATCTTTAAATAGAATAAAAGCGGCCGGTTTTTTTTTGTTTTTAACCAAAGATTTTGGAAAAAAATTTTAAGTAAAGAATTAATTTGTCTTGCGCAATAAGGAAATAATATACAATTAGAAATTAAATTGTTTTCTTTTTGCTTCATTCGCATTAAAAATCAATCTATTATCTTCGTTGCTTCCAATTGCTTCTACAACTTAATTTTAATATTACATTATAGTGTAAATTTGTTCGTAAATATCCGCACTATTTTAAAAAAAACAAGTGAAGTTCATAACTATCAGACACAGGCAAAAAGGGATTTGTATGTTCCTGCTCAGACTTTGTTAATTTCTAAGCAGAACCCTTTGACTTGTTTAGCTGCTTTGTATAACAAATTGCCTGTTTCGATTCGCTTAGAGCCTCGATACAAGATTTTTGAAAGTAGTTTGAGGTGATTTGTTCATTTACATAAATTTTATACAGCAAAGAGAGGTTTTTTCAACTAATTGATACATTGTAATATTTTTATTGTTTTTTACTCTCTACTTGTTTTGTACTATGTTGCAAATGGGGCGCGTCGCAATGAGTCATTAAATCGTGGTGACGCCTCATACGTCAATAAAGATCAATAATAATAATATCGTTTATCATATCACATTGCGTAACCTACTAGTTTGCAATTTTTTATTGTTACTAGTGTAATGATTAAAATAAATAATGGTCAAGTTATTATCTTTAAGAAACAGTGAAACTGAGCAATTATAAGCTATTCGTTTCGGACCCAGCATGATAACATTCTATATAACTTTTCCTTTCAAGAAAATGAACCTGCGCAACGCGAGACTTATGGCTAAATTAAAAAATTCTACTCTGATTTCAACAATTTTTATGTGAACAATGTGATGTAAAAATTTGGACAAATAAACAACAATAATAATAATGATTAGGACAGCCGTTTTGGCCAATCAATTATCCGAAAAAACAATTCAATGAAATAAATTTATTATATTTAATTTCTTAACAAAAAAACTGTTCTAATGTTCAATAATTTCCCTTTGTATGAGAAAACGTTTGATAATTACAATGACGCGCACGTGACTAAACTGCAGGGAGTATTGTGCACAACAAGCAGCGTATGTCAAGTTGCGAATATGCGCCCACACACGCCTGCACACACACACATAGCATTAGGGAGAGAGAGAGATCGAGAGCGCAAACTACGCGCGATGAAGCGCACAGTCGGGTGGTTGCACTCGGGTGGCGCGTCTGGGGTTACTCGAGGGCGGGCGGGCGCCGCACCACGGCCGAAGGGGTTGCACACACACACTCACACACACACACACACACACATAGAGCGAGTCTGGCTGCCGAGCCAGACAGCGCTGGGCGAGGTGGGGTAGGTCGGGAGGACGCAGCCTAAATGTGTGATGGAGCAATGCTGGGTGTGTTATACTCTCACTCGGCTGGCGCGCCGCCGCCCGGTCGATGATTCCGTCTACGCCGGGATAAAAAGAAGCGGCCGAACCCCCTCAAGATGTCAAAAGGCGTAAATTATCTCCTCCTCCCCGGCGTAAACAATGGCCCTGCATTATTATTATACTTTCTTTGAACGAGGAAGGTGTGCGTTTTTTTTTATTATGATCGGAAGAACCGCGGCGACTCTCAAGATGCTCTTTTCGCTCGAGTTGACTTTGATCTCCGGCTCGGTTCGGCGGCGACGGCAATTTTGCAAATTGGATGGCGTGTGCGTTTTTATTCCCCGTGCGCGAGCGCGAATTAGTCTGCGGTGTAGACGTGTGTGTGTGTGAGTTCGCTCTCGATTGTCTCTCTCTCTGCGAGAGAGCGAAAAAAAGCGTCTGGCTCCAAGATCGATACATTTATGCAGCAGCCAGATTGAAACTTGTCGCCGCCGAATTTTTATTTTGATGGGAAATTGCAATCAGATGAGAGATTTTGTAATAAATTCCTATAATTAAAAATTATTTTAATACTGATAGAAAATATACGAAATGTACATTATCGAGCATCTGACGAGCTTTTTAGTCCTCGCTGAAATGACTTACAATTTAAATAGGTTGCCTAGTGATTTTGGAACTTATTTGTTAATTCTGATTTGATTTATTGTTTATTAAAATTGTTTTTATTATTTAATAATCAAGGTCATTCGGATGTAGAACTTTCAACTGGATTAAAATTAGCTTAGTTTGGTATGTTGAATTCACGACCTGCGTTTCACGAGGGTCCTAAGTCCTGATTGTAAGTTCTATATAAAACAAAGTTTGGCAGGTGAGATCTCTTATCTCACAATTTTTCACTTGTATTTGTCTCTTCTAGTTACGCCAACCCTTAATACATGCCATTTTTTTTTACATGGATCAAATCAATTCTTTGATTATGAAAATTGTTTTTTTGAAAAACCAAAAGTAAAAATCTCTTTTGTATTCACGTATTTCCTTCTGCACGTTTTCTCAAATTTATTTTTTTATAAAAGACTCTTTTTCACTCTATCTGTGGTAAATTTATTTCAATTAATTATCGTTGGATGAGGCAGGCGAAAGAAGCGGTCGTTAACTGCGAGTATAAAAATCTATTGCACAGTATAATATTTCCATTTGACGGTCTGCAATAGAGCAAAGGCGCAGCAGCGATGAAGCAAGCGTTTTATTATTTTTTTGTGTTGCCCCACTCGGCGTCTGCCGCGCTAGCTGGAGGCTAGCGCCCCTATTTCAACGTCACCGCAGCCTGCACAGCTCGGGCGTAGTGCGCGTTGCATAACTTTTTCTATCTGCTGCATCCTGCCTAGCTGCGCACATGCCGCCGGTGCGAGAGAACGGAAGGAAAAGGATCACAGAGAAAAAGTTTACTCTTGAACTTTAATTGAAACTTGCGACATTTACCTCGCGCAAAAGCAGGTGCCGACGCGCAGTTTCCGCTTCACTTTTCCTGCAGCAAAGACCGTATAATTAAAACCCGACGAATTGTTTTCATTCTTAAGTTCTTTTTGCAAACGAAATTGCATAATTACATAATGATGTTTGTTAAATTATAGGTGTGGAAAATTTTATAATTGTAATAAAAATATGTTTAAAATCTAGTTTTCCTTCTTGTTACGCTTAAGGGCAATCAAAATCATCAAATGAGCACAAATTATTAAGTTTCAAATCGAAAGAAAAATTAAGGAACTCGTTGAATCTAAGGAACTAAAACAGGACTAAAAGTCTAATTTTTTAATTTTAATTTTAGACCTGACATGTTCTAAAGACTACTATTAATATTCTTGTCTAACAGAACAACAATAAAATTGAATTGAATTTAATATAATTCTTTGATCCCACCTTACATTGATATCACTAGACTGAAAGATTGCCTTTTTTAATGCAAAAAGAAACTACTTTAATTGTTTTGCTTTCTCAAAGTATTTATACTTTTTTTTCAACAATTTTTCTACAGATGTTCCTGTAGTTGTGGAACCTTTTGGCACTTAAGGTGTTTATTTTTTTGATAAAAAATCCGGCTTCCTCGGTGAAGATGATTGTTTCTGCATGATACAGAAACAATAAGTTTTTCATCTTCACCGAGGAAGCCGGATTTTATTTCATCAAAAACAATCATACTTTTCAATTTATAGACTAATTTGATACTTTTTTTTTTTTTTTTTGTGGTAGAAT